TCCCTCATATATGCCATAGAGCACAATGGCAGCAATGGCCATAGCAGCTCCAGCAATGTTGAAAATCAAATCGAGGACGACCTGAAAGATACGATGAATATTTCAAAGAGGAAGATCTGAAGAAGGGAACGTGTTCATCTAATCACTCACCAGGCATGGACTCGGATACTTCTCAGACAGAAGGCACACCATCCCGAACACAATCAACTGGAAAAAACGATACAAAGGAAAATCTAAAATACCTAAATACTTTACATTTTGTTCCCTGTATTGAGCTTTTGAATGTGTATCCTGCCAAAAGGTCACACATTCACAAAGAAACCACTCTCCACAGCATTTTGAATGTTTTATGCATTCTGATTCTATCAGCCCCTGATCATACGGCCCCTAATATGTCCCCCAGATTAGTCCATGCTTCTTCTCTTTTTATGCATCCTGTAGATTCTCATTAATGCTTCGTTAAAAATCAAACATGCTTTGAGCAGCAGAAGCACCAATTTTAAATGCAAGGGTTGATGCAAATCAAGGCCCATCAAAAATTCCTGCAGCGCGTTTAGGGTAGCAGGAGGAACGCTTCTTGATGCATCTGAGCAGCTTGGTGCAGTCAGTTCATCCAGACGGCCTGGTTTTTGAGTATAAATTTGCCTTTAGGCTCACAATGTGAAATCAACCAGTTTGCCTACCAGAGGTCCCATCCAGAAAGGGATATTGGTAATCACAATCCAAGTAGATGTGAATGTCAGGCCCAAGATGGTACCAAGGCCGATATAAAGCAGACCAATCATGATGTGAATTGCCTGTGGACAAAAAAAAAGAGAAAAAAAGAGATATTTGAAATGAAATATCTCTTTGCATAATTTCTCTTTAGTAATAATAACAAAAAAGACATTGATTAAAACTAAATCAAGAGCTAAAAAAGCAAATTCTTAGCTAAACATTTCTAAGAACATAACCAGTTAGTTTCTTTTTTATTTTTCTTTATACATAGCAGTATACCTGTCTAAAAGCCTATTAGCGAGTTCTTGGTTTTCCAAGGAACACTTGAACGCCCACTAAGTGAACAGCTCCTGGTGAGTGAATGCGGGTGCAGCTCGGAGGTGATTAAAACATTCACAGAGACAGCTTGTTTCTAGCTTTGTGTGCGTTTTATTAACACTTTTGATGCTTCTCTGGCATATTTATATCTATTTATATGTGTGCAGCTTACTAAACGCCCATGCAAAATATGCAAGGAGAAACATCTTACAGCTTTGCATTATGCTATCCAAAATTTATCCCAAAAAGTGCTGATGGTTAATAATCACAAGCCTAGTATCTATATTGAACTGTCTAGAAGCCCTCAGAGTTTTGCTGAAAGTTGTTAAAGTGCTACTTCACCATGGAGACTGTG